GAGCCTGGATCCTGACTCTCTTCCATCCCCGGCATCTCTGGACCACCCCCTCCCAGGAACAGTGCTGTAAAAAGAAAAAAGGGGGGATGCTAGAGAGAAAAGAGGAAATAAAGTCTTTGGAAAGCGAGGGTTTTACAACAGCCTCAGGTTTTATGGAAGCAATTCCGTAATAACCTTCTACCTGCTCAGCTCCTTTCCGCCCCGCCTGCCGCCCACCCCGTTTGGCCTCCTGGATACCCCCTCCCAAAGAGTCAGCCCCCCCACCCCACACACACCGCCTTCCATGTCCCCGATGGGATGGCTGAGACTTGGGAAGAAGATTCCTGAGGTCTGCTTTGGCCGGTGACCCTTTCCTTTTTCTTCCTTTCACCTCTGACATCCTGGCAGGGAGATTTGGCAGATTTCGTTACTTTACAATCCAAATCCCCACTTGGAGGGTATGGAAGCATTGAGGTTTGAACCCGTGCGTGTAGATTCGATGGGCTCCATTTTAGAGGTGGCTTTGTATAAAGACTGAAGGTTCTGGGGACCTTGAGTTCTTCCCCCCCCTGAAGCAAACATCCCCACCCCTCTTTCTTTCCCAGAGTGGGTCTTGACTCTAGTTTTGGGTCAGAAGAAATATCTCTTGGTAGTTGGAGACATAGGTTTGGGGACCTTTCTAATTTCGTTGTGGACAGCAGTGCTTTTGTGTGACCCCCACAATCACCTGAGGGCTTTCACATTCAGCTCATCTTTGCCCACTGGTCAGATTCACACTCGTGAGGGACACACTCATGCGCAAGTAATAGTGCCTTCATCCTTGCGTCCATCACTACCATGAAATAAACATCACACGATGTACCCTGTTCCTGCAATTTTGGGTGATATCCGCAGTAAAGGATGTCATGGTCGGACAAAGAAAAAAAAAAGATCACAAAATTTCATGACCTGGGCCAATGTGAGGTATTTCCTTCACCTTCCACAGACATATTTTGGGAAAAAGTTGTCAAAGGATTCAGATGTAAGCCACATGCGTTTGTTTGAGGATGCGGTAAATATTTTGCCTGAATATCAAGCCAACAGGAGATTTTCAAGCAAAGCTTCCTAATCAACCAATATTTTATAGCCAAAATCCAGGTACACAAAATACTCAAGTTTTTGCCCTTTCCATAGGTGTGTGATGGTTATAAAAATGTATGCACAAGCTTTTGGGTTACAGACCTTCTTATATGAACGGAATCTTAAACTCACATCATTCACTGGGGTTATACATGCATCCACATATGGACCATTGGGTCTTCTATGTGAACACCCGAGCACATCCAGTATTATAGTTGGGTGTATTTATTTATTACATATTCTGTACACAGCGTAGAGGATAGCATATTCGCACAGTGGGTCCCCATAAATAAATATCGATTTGAAATATACATACAGGATATACACATCTATTCAAATACAAAATGCATAAATTTCAGCTTAGCTTATCTATTAAAAACGAACTTTCCCCCCCTTTCCCATTTATTGTTTTTGTTTTTCTTTCTTCCTCCTCTCTTTCCTTTCCTTCCCTCTGCCTAGATTTTTTTCTCTCCCTCTCTCCTGATTGACAAGGATCTTTCCAAAAGCCGCCCCAAAAGCACAGGCACTCACCGTCTGGTCCTGGCCGGGGTCAGCCTCTGCTCTCCCCACCTCTGCCTCGCTCTTGGCTGCTCTGGGCCCCAGTGTGGCCCAGGGATGCAGCTTTTCCCTGCCTGTCCTTCTCGGAGCCACCAGTTTACTGGCCCTAGCTGTGCTCGGGCGCGGCTCCTGTGCTGGGAATGGCCAGAGACTGGGAGGGAAGGCAAGGTCTTCTTACTTTCTCTTTAGGATTAGGAGTGGGGTGCGGAGCGACCCGCACTCAAGCAACCTCTCTATTAAGCATCTTTAGAAGCTGAGCTCCAGTGGGGGGGGGGGTGCGGCAATCCTGTTTTCCTCCTTCCCTCATGGTGGGTACCATTGTTTGGAGGAGGAAACAAGGTTTTGAGGGCATCCACAGACCCTCAGAGCACCCAAACAGCGGGCTCCCTCCCAGCTGCCCCTTTAACCCTTTGCTTGAGCGGGGTTGAGCTCTAGTTTGAGACAGCAGTGTTTTCTAGAAAGCCTGGCTGGGGTGGGACTATCGCTTGGTGCATTTGCATCCCCACCTGGGAGATGAGCTGGGGTGCAAGGCCCAGGGTTAGGGTGCTGGTTCTGTTCTCTTCCCTCCAGAGTCCCCTCTCCTGAGAAGCCTGAGACCTCAAAACCTGTCGTTTTGAGATTGTTCCCACACTCCAATTTTAGGAGCAAAGGCTAAGGCTCTGGTCGCAGAAAAGAGGCCTGGGTCTCCTCCTTTCCCAGCACCTAGGAGCCACCAGGAGAGAGGGGTGACTCCCCATAAAGGCAGTGGCTCACAAACCTAAGCCTTGTCTGTTGGGTCCCTCTGCCCTTGTAGAGCACAAGCCATGAGCTCAAAGGTTTTTCCTCTAACTTCCTCCCTAAACTAAGCGTCCCTCTTGACTTCTCTCTTGCTGCAAACAGAGGCAGCCACAGAGTCTGGGCCAGGAATGGGAACCAGAGGGCTGCAGTCAGAGCCCAGCGCCTGCAGAGCCTGGGTCTTAAAAACAGCCCTGCGCTGTGGCTTTTCTATAAATAAAAAAGGCCCTCCCCACAGTCCACATGGCCTTTTGGGCCCTAATTTATATACTACAGAAAGTCATATACTCAGCCCGCCATGCTTCATAACACCATTATTTATGGCAGGAGAGGTTTTTTTTTTTTTTTTTTTTTTTTTGAAGAATATATTTATTACAGGTAAAGCCCACAGCAGACTCCATACGTCTGGCAAATCGGGAACAGGTGCTTTGCCTTAACTGTGATTCATTCGCTCTGCGCCCAGCTTTCTGGCTGTTGAGTCCGGGGAGCTCCCTCGACTTTCCCAAGCGTCCAACCGCTACTTAGAAGAATTTGCATCGGATATTTGCTTCCCCACTTGGGTCCCATGGAAAAAGCAGATCTTCACGCTGTTTGGTTCCGGATCTGCTGGGCTGTCGCCCTCGGAGAGCTGGGGTGGAGAAGGAGGGGGCCGGCTGGGCGCTGGCATTGATCTTTAAAAAATCATTTTGAAATCGCCATAATGTGAAGAAATATGGCGCTTCGCCCTCGTATTTCACACGTAATGACACGAGATGGCTTCATTTGGAAAGAAAAGCGGGCGGGAGCGTGCCTGTGTGTGCGCGGAGGTGATCTCCAGCCTTCTGCAGGCAGAGGGGTACGTGGCCAAAAAGATAAAACCTCAAATTAGAATGGCCCCGCTTTTGTTAAAAGGACAGGGCTGGGGACAGCCGATCGTTTAAGGGCCCAGGGCCCGGCAATGCTGAGAAAACCTGCCCCAGCCTGCTCCTAAACCCAACCGCAGGCGAACCGGGTCTGTCCAGGGGCTGCGCCTCCCTGAGCATCTACACCACAAGAAGCGACTGTACCCAGGGCAGAAGCTGGATGGAGGAGCGGCGGCTGGGAGACGAGCCAGGAAGCCAGCCGGTGGCCCCAGGGGAAAACCAGCGCAGGGCCTCATAGTAGATACCAATAAAACTGGCTATCTGAAAGCTCCAGCCAGAGACTTCACAGGAGGGAAGGCGGCGGGTGGTCGGGAGACTGACCTGCAAGCCCTCGGTCTGTCTACACTGGTGCCCAATACTGGTATTTGGAAATCTATCAGGAAGGCGATGCCGGCTGAGAGGAGCCATCCGGAAGGGTCAAAACCTGGGTGTAAGAGGAGATAACTGCGGGACCCCTTCCCACACCTCTGCTCTGCTGACACCTTAGGGAATTTCCCTTAACCCTTTCTCACATCCAGCTCCTCATCGGGCAATTTTAAGGGCCTGGGCCCCGTTATCAGGGGGAGGAAAAGAGTGATGGCTATGCCCCCCACCCCCAACCCCCTACTTCCCTCTGACCTGGGCCAGAGAGAGGCCCTAGGAATTTAAAGGGGCTTTGGCTAGTTGTATTAAACTCTTCCCGAGGCTCAACTTTTCAGGCTCCGATGAATACCTTTAACCTCATGTAGGTTCTGATTTTAGGACAGCTAGATTTTAGGACCAGATCACTGGACACTCACCCCGCTCTCCTCTGTCAGCTACCGAGGGGTTTACTCAGGCCTGTGAACCTCCCAACATAGTCACAGAGAACCCTCCAGAGCAGATAATGCCCTATAAACCACCCCCCCCAACTTCTCTCCCATCCCCTTTACTTCATCCCCAGCGGATTCCTGCCGCACTGTTGTTTAATAAACATCTTGTGTCAAGGGGACAGAGGACAGGAAACGAGGCCTGCGGGGTGGAGTGGCAGTGCGCGTGGGGGTGGGGGTGGGGACAGGACCACCTCCTCTTTAATTATGCCCTGGGCCTCTCGGTCGGCTCCCCAGGCTGGGGTCCTCTCCCTCCCTCTGCCCAGCTCTCCCTCTCTCCCTCCCGGACCCGCCTGGGGAGAGGGCTCCACCGCCTGCATCCCTCCGGAGGCAGCCCGCTTCTTTCCCTCCGCCTCTCCTCCGCCCCCGCCGCCCCATGTGGAGAATGGCCCCCCTTCCTGCAAAAGGGGGGGGCGGGCGGCCGGCAGCTCAGGCTGAGGTTACGTGGCCGCCGGAGCCCTGACGTGATAGCACATTGCATCAGCATAAAACAATCCATCCTCGATATGGAATGCGGTGCGGACGGATGACAGCGAGAGCGCAGCCCCCTCGCCCGATTGATTTATGTCGGAGCTGACGCTTTATCAGGCAGTCGGAAAAACTTTGACCAATCATTTTGCAAGGAGCGCCGAGCCGGGCTGCTCCACTGTACTTTGTTGGCTGAGAAGTTGAGCAGGGGGTGGGGGTGGGAGGGTGGGGGGCTGGGGGGGGTCGCGTCCGAAAGCCCTCACACCGGTCCGGGTGCCACCTCTCCCTGCTCGGGCGCCGCCGCGCGAGCGCTTCCCTTCCCCCTGCGAGCGCGCCCGGATAATGTCTGAGAATGTCCATTTCTGGGACGCTTAGCAGCTATTATGTCGACTCGATCATAAGTCACGAGAGTGAGGACGCTCCTCCAGCCAAGTTTCCTTCCGGCCAGTACGCGAGCCCCCGGCAGCCGGGCCACGCGGAGCACCTGGAGTTCCCCTCGTGCAGCTTCCAGCCCAAAGCGCCGGTGTTCGGCGCGTCCTGGGCGCCGCTGAGCCCGCACGCGTCCGGAAGCCTGCCGTCCGTCTACCACCCCTACCTGCAGCCCCAGGGCGTCCCGCCGGCCGAGAGCAGGTACCTCCGCACCTGGCTGGAGCCGGCGCCGCGCGGCGAAGCTGCTCCGGGGCAGGGCCAGGCGGCGGTGAAGGCGGAGCCGCTGCTGGGCGCGCCTGGGGAGCTGCTCAAACAGGGCACGCCCGAGTACAGTTTGGAAACTTCGGCGGGCAGGGAGGCCGTCCTGTCTAATCAAAGACCCGGCTACGGGGACAATAAAATTTGCGAAGGAAGCGAGGACAAAGAGAGGCCGGATCAAAGTAAGTTATAAAAAGTGAGGAAATACCAGGCCGAAGGCCAGGCGAGGGGGGGAGGGGAGGGCCGAGGCAATAAACTGCGGACAATGTGGAGGGAGACCGCGGCGGTGGCCGGAGAGCGAGCGGGGGAGGAGGGGAGAGGGGAGGCAGGCAGGAAGGAAGCAGGCAAAGCCAGCTGGGTGCCCCCCGAAGGGGGAGACCGAGGCCGCTCGGCGGAGCGCCGCCCCCACCGCTCCGCGTCCTGGAGGGACCTGGGGCGCCCGCACCACCTCGCTGCTCTCTCGGCCTCCCTTCCCCCACTCCCCCCTTCGCCCCCCCCCCCCCCGGGGCTCGGGCTCCAAGCCCGGGAGGAGGCTGACGACGGGCCGGCCGGGAGGAGAGAGGCCGGCGGGGCCGGGGCCCGGGCGGCAGCCGGAGAAGCCGAGGGCCCGCGCGCCGGCGAGGGCGGGAGCGCACGGGGCTGCCCGGGGCCGCGCGGCTGGCAGAGCTCCCCGCGCCACGCGCAGACCGTAAAAGCCGGCCAAGGGGAAGTGGGAGGGGGCTCATTAGGATTTTATTTGCGATGCAACAGCTTGGCGGAGGATTGTTCCTAGCAGATCTCTCGCAGGAGCCGCGCGGGGTCCGCAGCCGGCGCCGGGAGGGGCGGGGAAGCCCCGGACCCGGTGACTGAGCCCCCTCCCCGGATGCGCCGGCCCCTCCCCGGGAGCCTTCCCTCCGGCGGCCGCCCCCTCCCCTCCTTTGGCATCCTCGCCCGGGCCGCAGCTTCCCTTTCTGCAGCCCCCGCTGCGTTCCGCGGGGCTCCCCAGCCCCAGCCCGAGCTGTCCGTCTCGCGGGGAGTCCGCGAATCGCCTCTGAACTTCGGGGCGGCCAGCCAGAGTGGAGAAGGAGAGATCGCGAAGGGACCCTGGGGAGGGGAAGGGTGGGGGTGGGGGGAAGAGAGGCTGGCGGCTGGGCGGAAAACTTTACCCTCCTCATCTTTCCCTCTCCTCCAGAAGCACCCCCCCGCCAGGAGCCCAAGTCTGGCTAATTTCCAGGAGGTGCTGCTGGCTGGATGTGGGGTAGGGGGGAGTCTCCTCGTTTTCGTTTTTAAGGTTGAGAAAGGCAAATCGGTTGGGGGGGGGGTTCTTAGCTCCACACAATAAGCCTCAGGCTGACCGGAACAAGTCCTCACCCCTCACTCTTTGGGGGGAGCGAGGGTCAGGTTTTTTCCGTCTCTGATTGCCATGCCAGATTTCTTATCAACCTAGTGGCCCACGCGGGGCCCTCTGGGGAGTCCTTGTCTGCTGGAGGGCAGAGAGCTGCCCCACTCCCCTGAGGTCCCTGCGAGGTCTTGCCACCTCCAGCCTGCCAGGGTTAATAACAAGAACTAGCGTTTGAGTAACACGGGCTCTTCGCAGAACCTCGCGGCCGCTCTCACCCAAACAGACCCCCCACGCCAAACCCCCAAACTCTGCCTGGAAAGCCCATTACTGCAAGGCAGCGGTTTGGCTAGGATCAATTATTAACAGATTTTTTTCCTCTTTCATATTTAATGCGGCTGCGGGTCCCCTCCCAGGCGATCACATTAAGGAAATAGCACTGCAAATTGGTAAGACACGGTTCTTAGTGTAGGATGAGCCGGATTATTATTATTTTTTTAATATATTCAGTGCTTTTCATTTAGGGAGAAGAATCTAGCAAAGGGTGGCTGTTATTTTTAATTGGCTCTGCTTTATTTGGCAACTTTTCTGAGTTCCAGGGTAGGGAGAGAGACAGTGAAAGGGAGACAAGCCTGTATACATTTTTGTTTCCTCTTTCCCCCTCCCTTCTTCCATTCAGTTACCCCTTTCTCTGCTCCTCCTCACCACCACACAGAGCCAGTTGGAGTTGGGTGTGCTGTGAAGGGCTTTCTCCTACCCCCACGTCATCCATGGCTCTCCACCCCGGGACCAGAGCAATCTTGTCTCCCAGTTTCCCTGAACTTGCTTTAACCAAACTGTGCGAGCTGAGCAGGGGCGGAAAGGAGAGACTATTGCAACCATAAGTTATCCGTGAGCCCCTGGCGCTCCCTTGTCCACAGGCTGGAGTTGATAAATGGTTGCAATTGGGTTGTATGTGAATTGGAGTGTGCTGGAGTTGGCGTCTCTAAGTGCAGACCCACGTTTGCAGTGTGTGTGTGTGGGGGGGACAAGATATCTACAGACACACACATCTGCTGCCATGTGGCCAGGAGATACGAGATTGTGATGAAGGCAGGGTGTACCTGGCCGCACTGGAGGGGCCAGGAGCTCTCTGGTGTGGCTGAACAGAAGCCGCTCTCCCTCAGCCCAACCCTCCTCTTACCTCCCAGACCCTAGAGCCAGGACCCTTCAGGTCAGCCACCTCTGGTTAGTCTGGTGGTGGGGGGGGGGGGAGGGGAAGGGGCTTTAGCCATGCTGGGCTTTGACCTGAGTCCTAACCAGTGGAGATTCAAGCGGAGAAAGAGATGGAGAGAGAACCCGAGGCAGGCAGGCAAAGCTCTGGAAATGCTCTGTCCAAGTCACTTCTCACCCGGAGGTGTCAATAGAAACTCCTGGCCCATCTCTGGGACCCCTTCTGGGAACTCGGAGACCCCGGTCCCCTCTCTGCGATGCACGACGACGACGGGGGACTGGAGCCCAGGGGTACATCTTCCTGGAAGGAGAACATGGGGCCCTTTCATCCTCCCCTTCCCTTCTTTGATTCTATCGCTGCTTCTCTTTCAGCCAACCCCTCCGCCAACTGGCTGCACGCTCGCTCTTCCCGGAAAAAGCGCTGTCCCTACACCAAATACCAGACGCTGGAGCTAGAGAAGGAATTTCTGTTCAATATGTACCTCACCAGGGACCGTAGGCATGAAGTGGCCAGACTCCTCAATCTGAGTGAGAGACAAGTCAAAATCTGGTTTCAGAACCGGCGGATGAAAATGAAGAAAATGAATAAGGAACAGGGCAAAGAGTGAAGATCTTCCCCCCCCCCCCCGCCCCTTCCCCATCTCACGCTTATTTATAAGTGATGGCTGTAGGGCCAGTGCTGTCTGGGATTTATTCAAGTGAATGGGGAAGGGAGTCTTTTCTCTTCAAAGTCCTTTTCTGCATCTAGAGCATCCCCTTTACCTTTGCCCTTGCCTGTCCTCTCCTCCCTGAGCCTCTGAAGGAAGTTTTGTTGATCTAGAAGGTAGACATGTAGTTGGTCTCTAACAAGGTGACAGGCCACGAGGAAAGAGAGCCCCTAGTCGAGCCCCTAGCGATCCCCTGAATGTTCCTGGGAAGCTCCAGCCCCCCACCTCCAGCCTACCTGTCTCCACTCCCCACCCCGTCCCTGTCCTGCGTCACCCAGGGACCCTCCATAGCTGCATACAGCCCAACAGAAGCCCACATACTTAAAGCCTGGAGCCCACTGTGATCATGAGGAAAGCTCACAGCCAACACGCCAATGAAGTGGCACCCCAAATGCAGACCATCGCACCCCAGATCTGGCAGAACAGCCCTCAGACCACCAGCGAGCCCAGACTCTACCCTTGACACAAATGCACATCCAGAAGGTGTCCAGAGGCACACTCCTGAATGAGGCTCTGTAGCCCAAAGGGCTCTGGGTCACAGTACCATCTCTATGGAACCCCTGTCTACACCCCATTTGGACCCAAGGGCAAATGGGGTAAACTCAGCCCCCAAGCTGGTGAGCTAGAAGGGGCCAGGAAAGGCAGCAGGGGTCTTATAGAAGTAGCTTAGGATTTATGAAGGTGTTTCTCTCTCTCTCTCACTCACACACACACACACACTTTGTTGCAGGAAATGTTTAATTCTGCATGTTGTTTTCCTCTCCTTCCAACAAAAGGAGGTCCAATCGTGGGTCATAAGCCTTGACAATGTCGCCTGTCTGTTCATCTGTGCCCCGCCTGACACAGACTGCAGCTTCTCCTGCTCCACGCAGGCCCTGCGTTCTTCCCCGTCCTTCCCAGCTCTGAAATCGACTCTGGTCGGCCAAGTCCACCTTGCACCAGCGTATCAAGCCGCCCCGCGTAGAAAACCCCCTCCACCCTCCATCCCCTGCTAGCTCAACCCTGCTGCAGGCCGGGAAAGCCAGGGCAGGAGAGTCCCATTGAGAATTTATTGTGAATCGATTCCCGGAGAGAGAGAGCTCCCTTCCGGGGAGAACTTGCGGAGGCCCGGGAGGAGCCGAGGCTCCAGCGCGCGCGGAGCCTGGCGCGTGCCTCCCCATCCTGCCCACGTCTCGACCCATGCAGAGGAGCCGACGGAGACCGGCCCCGGCCGCCGGGCTTTGCCTCCCGAGCCCTGGGCCTGGCTGGTGGCCTGCGCGACTGCCGGGCGCGCGCGCGCTTCTGGGGGGACGCGGTCCCGCGTGCAGAGGAAAGAGGCGAAACCGCATCTCAGCAGCCGGGCCGCAGCTCACCCTCTGCGTCCCTTCTCTGCACCCCCCCCCCGCCCCTTGCTCCCCTGAACTGTCCAATCCCCTTCAATTCCATGAATTCTTCTTGCTCCTGCTTCTCCCGACCCTGCAAGGGGACATTCCAGTAGAACTTTCTTTGCTTTGTCGGTGGCTGTCGTGAAATTGTGCTGTGTTTTGTGATTTCTTTGCGGGGTGATTGTCTCGCCTGATTTCAGTTGTCGCTTATGTGGGGGGGAGGGGGACGGGTGGGAGCGGGAGGGTGAGGGGCCTAGAGCTCTGATTGTCTGTTTTGGAAGAAAAAAAAGAAAAAAGAAAAAGAACAAAAAATATATATCACTCTAGAAAATAAATCTCTCCTTGCGTCTTATTCCGGGTTGGCTCTCCTCACCTGGCCAGAGGGAGAGGCCCTCGCTGCCAGAGGGCAGCTTGGAAAACAGAGAGGCTCCTGAGCCCAAGAGGTGCCTCCTTAGACCTTCCAGAGCAGGACTTCGTGGTGGGGCTGAGAACCGGGCTGGACCCCAGGTGCCAAGAGCTCTGCTTACGGAGCAATGCCTTCCAACAGAGCCGGAGACAGAGGGCGAGGGAAGGAAAAGAGGAGTGATTTGGAGAGGGGTCCGGGTCTGCAGGGAGCAATGAGGTCTTCCCTCAAATGTGCCCGGACACCTCCCCGCCGGCCCAGAGCCCCGCCACTCCTGGACTCGTAGTTCCTCACTCAGCTGGCTGAGAACATCACCTTGGTTTGGCCACCTAAGAATCTCAGGCAAGTGAGGAAGGCACCAACTTCCTTCAACTGTTCCCTGCAGCAGGGCGACTGGGTGTAGACAGAGGCCTTAGGAAGGCCAGACTACGCCCCAAAGGAGTGTGAGCCCCTTAGGGTTCCACCGCCACCTGGAGTTTGAGGCTCCCCTAGGAGCCACAGGGCAGCATTCTTGGTTTCGGGCGGGCGCAGTTGGGTACGGGTAGCGGCTGGGCAGGCGGCTCCGCAGGCAGGGAGAGGGGATCGAGGGTGCCACAGAAATGTCTCAGAGAAAAACCAAACTTCCCTCCCCAGTCGGACCGCAGGGCTACGTTCGGTGTCCAGAGGCACCTTTCTGTCCCCATCAGACTGCGCTGTCCCCGCCAGGACCTCTTCCGAAGGCCGCTGTCCCACGCAGCCCTGCGTTTCTCAGCCAGGCAGTGGGGTTCGGTGGGGGAAGCGGCGAGCCTCCCGCCGCCCCCCCACCCCCCCAGCGGCGCGGCGGCCCGCGGAGCCCCTGCGGGTTGGGGTAGAGGTGGGGACAAAGGGTGGCCCGAGGGAGAGGCGCCTGGAAGTGAAAAGGCCAGGCCGACCCCTCTCCGGCGAACGAAAAGGACGAACTAATCGGACAGATGGCAAAAGGCAGGAGAGAGCGAAGCTCCTGCGTCTGGCAGCGCCCCGGCCCCGCAACCTCCTCCGAGGAGGGTTCCATTCGGGTTATGGAAGGGATCGGGCGTTAGAGCTTGTGTAGACTAGGCTCCCTTCACATCCTGGGCTCCCCGGAGCCAGCGGGCGCGGAGAGGGAGCCGCGCAGGCGAGCTGCCGCCGGGGAGGAAAGGCGAAGGCGCGGCTGGAGCGGGGCGCCGAGCTGCGGGGTTGGGGGCGCGGCCTCCCGGGGAAGCCGCCGCCGGCGTCTGGGTCCTGAGCCCGGGGTGGCTTCTTTAAAGTCAAACAAAGGCGAAGATGCGGAGGCCGGGAAGCCGGAGATGGGGAAATCTGTTGTCATAAAAGGGAGCGAGAGATTCAGAGAGGGAGACCGCGCGAGTGCGAGACGGAGAGAAGCCGGGAGAGGAACTCAATTCCGTGTGCGCAGCAATAAAAGAATATGACCGCTATAAAAGTTTATAGCGTATAAATTTCTGAAGGTTAAGAAACTAAACAGCAGCAAAGCAAACAGTGAGGGGAAACTTTCCGGAGCTCAGGGAGCCCGCAGCTGGGCCTGGGCTCCGGGGCTGACGGCCGAATGGGTGGGTCTGGCTCCGGAGCACCCCCCCCCCCCCGCCTCCCGGGACCGCAGGCCCGGCTTGGGGTTTCCGGGGCCCCAGGGGGCAAAGAGGGGAGAAGAGGGACACGGGAGGGAGGGACACTTTGTTGTCACAATTCGGACTCTTGTCTTTGTTCCCTGCACCCCCTCCAGGATCGGGCGTCGTAAATGAGAAGCCCCCCCCGTGCACACACGCGCGGACACACACACACACACACACACACACACACACACACACAGTCCGGCGGGGCCAGACGTCTGGGCGCGCGGGCAGCCTCTTGATCCTTTTACAGCCCCATCTCACCCTCCCAGGCCTCCTCTTCACCCCCCCCCAAAAAGCCCAATTGTTTCTCCTCAGTATCTGAAACAATCCTATTGGGTTTGAAAAGTGCTCGGCTCCCCCTTTTACGGGCCATAAACGACCCACTGCTTGGCGATCTCTGCCAGAAATTAGGGGCTTGAGGTGTAAGGGTGGGGGAGCGTCGGGGGTAAGTATGAGAGGAAAAGAGTTTATGGTTTCTTTTTTTTTCTCCCTACCCCCTTGCCTTTTTTTTTTTCCTTATCTGCACAGTTTCAGGAGCCATTTCCTGATTTCCGATGCCTTTTCTCTCGCCTGCTCTCGTTTCCCTCCCCCTTTTCTGCTAATAATGAAAGTTTCTGCCGCAGGTCGCCTCGGTGGCTGGATCTCCGGAGAAACTGGCCGAGCCGGTGGCGGCGGCGCCTTTTCTCAGGACGGCCGCTAGATGGCACCCTTGCTCCACGCGAAAATCCCCGGTGCGGCGGCGGCTGCGGACCCTGGCGGCGGCACCGCGCACCTTGGTCGGCCCTCAATGTAGGAACCGAGCGCTACCAAAAGTCATGAATAATTTGCGCGTAATAAAAACATAGGGTTCCTTATGGCCGTTTCCCCCATTTTATAGATTTCAGATAGAATGTGTGGCCTCCCTCCCTTCCCCTCAAACGGTCAGTTTTCTGAATTTCCCCCAGGAGGAGGTCTCAGTGCTTCTCACCCATCGGTAGGGCAACCAATGCCTGAAAACGGGTAGTGGTCGTAATAATAACAATAATAATAATAGGAAATGGGCAAAATAAAAAGAGGAGAATTGCTTCGGAAAAAACTGAGATTTTCCGGGAGGGGAGCTAGAGGAGTGTCAGGCCGGATGCGGGTGAGCAGGTCAGGTGAAAGGGGCGAGCGGATAGTAGAAGGTCGGATGAAGAGCAAGCTGCCCCCAAACGGGATCAGCAGGAGAGGGAACCGGGTGAGCCAGCCCAGGGTTTGGGGGTTACAGTTTGGGGGAGAAATGGATCCCTGGCTTTGGTGAGGATTCGTTGGTGCCCAAAGCCGGCGGGGCGGCTCCGCGCGGGCCGCCGCTTCGCTTCGGAGCCTTTGTGCGCGTCCCGGGCCGCGCGCGCGCGGGTGATGCGGGCGCGGGGCTCCCCAGGACGGCGAGGCGCGCGAGGTCTCCCGTATGTTCTCGGTGGTTCTGCGCGCCCCAAGTTGGGCAGCCAAAAAAGTGTGCGTTTTCCGGAAGGATGTGGGGCAGGCATGGCGGCTCGAGGCAGGAGCTCGGTTCTCCGCATTCCGTGGCTTCCAGGTGAGAGCTCGGGTTCGGGACGGCCCTGCTCCCGGCAAGCCTCGGGGACACGGGTCCTTCCGAAATTTAGCAGCTGGAGGCCTGGCCTGGGGGCAGTTTTCCTTCTGAGACCCACGAGCTGTCTGGCCATAACCCTTTTGATTCCAAATCTCCCATTTCCTCCTGGCCCAGCCTGATTCGTGTCCCCCAATCCGGACAAACCTGCCTGAGAAATACACACCCCTCCCTCCCCTCCTTAAAATTAGCCCCGCCGAGGCCTCTCTTCTCTTCCCCCAGGACCGGGTGCAAAGAGACAAGCGGAGTTTCTCAACTTGAGTTTCTCTAATAAATCTGCGCTCCGCTGGGTGTTTATAAATTATCTCCTCGCTCTTTCTTGTTTTTTCTTATAATAGAAACATTTTCCTTCCATCAGGAATTTCTGGCACGGTGTGGGGATGATTTAGAACAAGTCATTGAATTTCTACCTCACCGGTGAGTCCTCAAATCATGACCATAAAAATCCCCCGCACTTGATAAAAATGTTCTCTTCGGCAACAACTTAACTCTGCCTTCCGCTGCCTCACCGCCCCCTCAGCCTTGCACTGAAAAATCCAAGATCTTGGTTCTCTCCCCTCCTTTTCTCCTTTCTCTCTCCCCCTCTCAGCTCCTCTCTCATTCTCCTGATTCACTTTTGAAGGACCAAGCGGCCCTCCTGGTAATTTCCCCTTGGAAAAAGCTCATGGTTTCATTTTTGCAAAGGTTGGGGTACATGAGATCCCCCCCCCCCCAAAGCACCCTTTCCCAAAGCAAACCACTCTCTGGTGAATAAACAATGGCTTGACTGTATTTGTAAAGGCTCTACCTTTGTTATTAGAAATGTTCTCTCTCCCTCTCTCTCTCTCTCTCTCTCTCCCCCTTCCTTCTGTCTTTCCTTTCCTTGGCCAGTGAGCTGATTCAGGAGGTCATTGGTTGGGACCCTGGGACTGGACTGGGGCCTTCTCAAACCAAGCCACCATCCCCAGCAGGCCAGTAGGCTGGGAAAGGCAAAGGCGGGAGAGAGTGGCGCCCACTCAGCTCGGCCTTCTAGGCTTGTGCCTCCAGGCCCCAGGTCCTCAGGTCTGTTGAGAGAGTTGGGTTTAACTACAGGCTCCCCAAGGGGAAAGGAGAGAAGACGGGGGACTCTGTGGCCTTGCTGCATCTACCCCAAGGTCAGTTTAGCCAGTGACCATGGCTCAGAGGATGCTGAAGGCTGCAAGGTGCCCCCGCCCCACACAGACTCTCTTGCAGCCTCTACCTAGAGCAGAAGAGAGAACAGCAGAGAACAGAGGGGCACCAAGAGCAAGCACCTGGGCCTCGGTGAATGCCCAGCAGCCACCTCCATGGCCCTTCCCTCCCTCTGATGTGCTGATGGGCGTGGTGGTACCCCCTCACCCTAGGGTGCTGCAGAAGGTGCCTGGGAAGGGTGGGAGCCAATGAGCTTGGCTGGTGGGTCCCAAGGCCTGGGTGCAGGAGTGGAACAGCCCATCCTGGTGTCATCTTGCTAGTGGCACTGGGCCCCTCTCCCGTCACACAAAGATGGCCCCCCAAAGCACTGACTGGAGACCCCCTCTCTCCATGCCCAGCACTCCCCTCCAGGCCAAGAAGGCTCTGCAGAAGTGCCGAACTGCAGGGCGAACTTTGCTCTCTGCTTCACCAGCGCCCATTAACCAGAAAGTTTCTATCCCCCCTCCCGGTCCCTCCTAGGGCCTTCCGGGACCCCTTCTCCAAAGAAAATCCTTGCTTGTTTGTTTAATGAGGGAAAGTTGGTGAGTGGCCTGGATGGGGCCGAGCGGAGGTGGTGTGGGGGCTCCAGAGGGGGGATGGGGGCAGGTGCCGGCCACAGCTGAAGGAGGCGAAAATCTCGGAAAGTCACCGTTTGCGCCGAAAAAAAAACCCCATAATCGTTCTCATTTCGGCTTCGTCACCCCCACCGCGCTGCAGTCGGGCGGTGGGGCGATCGAAGCTGCAGTTTTATAGCTGTAGAGGAAAGAACTCGTAAAATGCTAACAGCTTTTATGCGCTGCGGCATAAACAACAACAGACTCCGGCTTTATTGCGTTTTATAGTTTGTTAAAGAGTTTACAGCCGTTTTTTGGGGGCCGGTTACCCAGCCAATTCCCTCCACACGATAGTTAAACCTTTATCAATAATAAGGAAATTGATCATTAAAGCCTTAAATATGACTACCTCGTTTGTTTGAAAATATGTTTAGGAGAGGAAGCTGTATGATTTGATAACTTGTATTAAAATACCAATTACATTTATAGGACCTTTTAAAACTCGGCGCAATTAAGCCGTGTTCTTTTACATTTTTCCGAAGCGACCCTGACATTTAAAAAGACTCCAACTGCCTCGTTAAAATCGCGAAATTAACAGCGTGCCTACGCCTGGCGCGTTGTCTATGTGTGTGTGCGTGTTTTTTTCCGTGACTCCCCCACATCAGTCTTTGGGGGTGGTCTGCGAAGGTATTTGATTTGTTGTGAGGCGAGAGATATCTCATTAATGTAGGTAGTTAAACAGATTTAATCCGTATTCATTCTCTCTCTCACCCCCTCTCCCTCTCCCCCTCTCTCCCCCTCTCCCCCTCGCTCTCCCTGGGTGTTTTTTTTTTCCTTCCCCTCCTTTTTTTTTTTTTTTTTTTCCGCGCCCTCCTCACTCCCTGGCGCTCTCTCGCTCTAGCTCTCTCTCGCGCTCGCTCTCTCTCGCTCGCACCCTCGCTCTGCGTTCTGTCCGGGAGGAGTACGAAGAAGCCAATAGGATGCGGGGTCTCTAATGGATGCAAATGATCATGAAAAGACAGTGCAAAATATGAAACAACTCATTTGCAGGGAAGTAAATCACCGAAAACTGTTTATGAACTGGCATCCCTTCTTCGAAATGTAAAGCGAGGACCTCTTTAAGTGGCGGTATATTTTTGTTTGGGGGGTGGGGGGTGGGGGGAGGGCGAGCGAGCCGCGGCTGCCAAGCAAGCTTAGACTTTTGGAGGCTTCGCTGTCCTTTTCTGTTCCTGGAAATCACAAAAAGTGTGGCGGCTTCGAGATCTTCTTCGCCTTTTCTTTCTTTTCTTTTTTCCCCCTCCTCCCTTTCCCTCTCCTTTCCTGGCGAGGGTGACTAGGAGCCGGCGAATCCGCGTTTTTTTTCTCTCTCTCTCCCTCCCTTTCCCCCTCCCCACCCCCTCCCCAACAGCCCCCAACTACAGCCGCCGCCGCCGCCGCCGCCTCAAAATTCAATAAAATGAGCTCTTATTTCGTCAACTCACTGTTCTCCAAATACAAAACCGGGGAGTCCCTGCGCCCCAATTATTATGACTGCGGCTTCGCCCAGGACCTGGGCGGCCGACCCACCGTGGTGTACGGTCCCAGCAGCGGCGGCAGCTTCCAGCACCCGTCGCAGATCCAGGAGTTCTACCACGGGCCGTCGTCGCTGTCCACCGCTCCCTACCAGCAGAACCCGTGCGCCGTGGCGTGCCACGGGGACCCGGGCAACTTCTACGGCTACGACCCGCTGCAGCGACAGAGCCTGTTCGGGGCGCAGGACCCAGACCTGGTGCAGTACGCCGACTGCAAGCTCGCCGCCGCCAGCGGCCTGGGCGAGGAGGCCGAGGGGTCAGAGCAGAGCCCGTCGCCCACGCAGCTCTTCCCCTGGATGCGCCCGCAAGGTGAGCGCGCGGCGGGGACGGCCGGGGCGGAACGGGGACCGCAGGGCCCGGCGCCGGGCGGGGGGCCGGGCAGGCCGGCGGCGTCTCCTCCGGCTGCTGCAAAGACGTGCCCGCTGCGCTCCGATCGCCTCGCGTTCCTTTCCTCCTCCCTTCCTCCCTTCCTTCTTCCCTTCCTTCTTCCCTTCCTCTTTTCCTTCCTCCCTCCCTCCCTCCCTCCCTTCCTTCCTCCCTCCCTCCCTTCCTTCCTTCCTTTCTTTTTTGTTTCCCTTGAAAGGGGGTCGCTAAGCGACATTTCCTGAATCCATAAACCCCTCACCCGGCCTTACTTTTCTTCTTCTCATCCTTTTTTCCCCTTTTAGTGTTTTATGGGGGTAGCGGAGAGAGGGTGGTGGGAGTGGGGCGCTCAACTTTTGCACTTCTCAATTGCTTTATAGTTTAATTACCCTGAAGAAACTTTTCTTCTGGGGCAGAGGCTCTGGGGGCTTTTCAAGGTGGGTCCATTCGTCCCCATCCTGGCTCTTTACATTCTTATATCCACCCCCCCCCCTTCACATCCTTCCTTTTAAAGTTTATGGCACTTTTCATAGATTTGAACCACCCCTACCCAACTCTGGTGCTGGTTACCAGGGGCGGGGGGCTCCCCCTTTCTGGCTCCCTTAGATTCAGTGGTGCCTGACCCCCCTCACCCCCTCCCCTCGCTCCGCTGACCGCGGCCTCCCAGCGCCCCCGCCCCTGCGCGGGGTAGAAGGTCCCCTGCCCCTTAGTATTATACTGGTCTCCTAGGCTGGTTCACGAATCTTCCCACCTTCTCCATCCCCGCCCCTCCCCCACCCTCCCCTCCCCCCTGTCTCGCCCTTTCCCCCATTCCCAGCAGCCGCCGGACGCAGGCGAGGCCGACAGACCTACAGCCGCTACCAGACGCTGGAGCTAGAGAAGGAGTTCCTATTTAATCCCTATCTGACTCGCAAGCGGCGGATCGAGGTATCGCATGCGCTGGGACTGACAGAGAGACAGGTCAAAATCTGGTTCCAGAACCGGAGGATGAAGTGGAAAAAAGAGAACAACAAAGACAAGTTCCCCAGCAGCAAATGCGAGCAGGAGGAGCTGGAGAAACAGAAGCTGGAGCGGGCCCCGGAGGCGGCGGACGAGGGCGACGCGCCGAAGGGCGACAAGAAGTAGGCTCCAGCCGGGACTGCCAGCGCCGGGGCGCCCTCCGTCCGCGGGGACCCCGACCGCGCCGCCGTCGCCCGCCCCCGCCCCACCGCGCTCGGGGCCGGAGCCGGGCCTCCCGCCGCCGCCGCGTCCCCGGCCGCGCCAGTCCCCGCTAGTGGTAGTATCTCGTCATAGCTTCTGTGTGTGAGCTACCGTGGGTCCCCTTCCCTTCTCTCGGGGGCCGGGAGGGGGGAAAGAAAAGGATTTTAAGCAAGGACTCCCTCGCCCTGCGAGGGTGAGCGGCTGCGGCCTGGCTGAGCCCCCCACGCCCCCGCCCCGTGTAAAAAGCCTCCTTGTGCAATGGTCTTTTTTCCTTTGAACGTGCTTCTTTGTAATGACCGAGGTACCGATTTCTGCTAAGTTCTCCCAACAACATGAAACTGCCTATTCACGCCGTAATTCTTTCTGTCTCCCTCCCCTTCTCTCTTCTCTCTCTCTCTCTCTCTCTCTCTCTCTCTCTCTCTCGTCCTCATTTCCCCCTCCCAACCCCTCTCTCCCCGCTGCCCTCCCTAGCTCGCTGGCTTTCTCTCTTGCTTCTCTCTTTTCCTCCCAACACCCCCGCCCCCTTTGGTTTGGCAATTTCGTCCTAAGTGTTTCTCAAAAGAGGTTACTTTAGTTAGCATGCGCGCTGTGGGCAATTGTTAAAAGTGTTCTTAGGTTTACTGTGAAGAGAATGTATCCTGTATCCGTGAATTGCTTTATTGGGGGGTGGGAGGGCTAATTATATATTTTGTTGTTCCTCTATACTTTGTTCTGTTGTCTGCGCCTGAAAAGGGCGGAAGAGTTACAATAAAGTTTACAAGCGAGAACCCGAGACTGGCCCGGCCCGCGCTCCTCATTTGCCCCCGGCGCCTCGCAGAGCTGGGAGGGAGCCGGTCACCGGGCTCCTGCGCCCTCCGGGCCCGGCAGCCCAGAGGAGGGGGCGGGGGCTGGAGGCAGGTGGTGCGAGTCCCTTGGCCCAGGGGCGCAGGGGGCGAGGGAGGCGGCTGCGCCTGATTGGAGGAGACAGGGACGGGGGAGGGGAGCCCAGAGAAACCCCCTCCCTTGGTGTTCCGAGGCTGTCTGCCCTGAGACCCAGGCGCCCAGGCCGAGCTGGAGAGATGCGCCCGGTTGGTGGCTCTGTCCCTCGCCACCTCCCCTTTTGTTTCCGTGGGCCCTCTCCTGTGTCCTGTGTGTGCTTGGGGTGGGTGGCTGGTGAAAGTGGAGCGCAGGGCCGTTGAACAAGCTTTTATATTTATTTCCACCATCCCCCCCCCACTGGGTTGTAAGGGGGGGAAGCAGGAGGAGAGGGGAGATACTCTTCCCCACCTCTCCCTCTCCAAGACTTGGCCACCTTCGCCCAGCTCCGAGGTCGTGGCTCGCCGCCTTCCTTCCTTCGCTGCCTCTGCTTCTCCGGCAGCCACGCTCGACTGAGGCATCCGCCTCCCGGAACCAGGAGAGCTGCATACCCAGGCCGCCCTCCTCCCTTCCTTTCTCTTCCCACCCACCCCACCCCCTTCCTTTTTTATTTTCAAACCTTTTTTTTTTTTTTTTAAGCCAACAGAAACCGCAGTATGCAACGCCTGTGGGCTGGATCCCGCGCCTGTAGGAGCACCCGCGAAGCCTCACTCCATCCCTGCCCGTATGTCTGGGGGGACACGCAGTGAGAGCCAGGAAGTCAGGCTCACCTCCGATCCTCACCTCCGGAGAACCTCGGGGACCAAGTTCCCCCAAAGGCCCAGCCAGGCTGACTTGGCCCAGATTAATAAAGACCTGCCCTGCCCCCACCCACCCACCCAGTCGGGGGCAGTCCCTGCATTTGTTTCTCGCTGGGTAACCGGCTGGGGAGGTGGGTGTACGGTGGGGGGGGGGAGGGTGACAACACGGATGGCTCGGAGGTTATTTATTTTCCCTTCCACTCAATCCCTTCCTCCCCAAATCTCGCCTGCAAGCTGCCTCCAGCCCAAGGGGGTCGGCAGCGGCCCTTGAGCCCCCAGCCCCAATCCACAGAGCTTGGCTTTCCCATTCATTATTGATCATATTTTATAAATCCAACGCCACACAATTTTTTCCACATTACCGGGAGCCGTGGGGAGGCCGCCCGGCCATTGGCGGAGGGGACGTCACGTGGGCGGGGTCACGTGGTCCGGAGAGGAAAAAGGGGGTCCTTTTTGGTGTAAATCTGGACTCTAATTCTGTAATATATCAAGGAATCTCGTAAAACCGACACTAAAACGTCCCTGCCTACAAATCATCCGGCCAAATTATGAGTTCATTGTATTATGCGAATGCTTTATTTTCTAAATATCCAGCCGCAAGTTCGGTTTTCGCTACCGGAGCCTTCCCTGAACAAACTTCTTGCGCGTTTGCTTCCAACCCCCAGCGCCCGGGCTATGGAGCGGGTTCGGGCGCTTCCTTCGCCGCCTCGATGCAGGGCTTGTACCCCGGCGGGGGGGGCATGGCGGGCCAGAGTGCAGCCGGCGTCTACGCGGCCGGCTACGGGCTCGAGCCGAGTTCCTTCAACATGCACTGCGCGCCCTTTGAGCAGAACCTCTCCGGGGTGTGTCCCGGCGACTCCGCCAAGGCGGCGGGCGCCAAGGAGCAGAAGGACTCGGACTTGGCGGCCGAGAGTAACTTCCGGATCTACCCCTGGATGCGAAGCTCAGGTAACGCCGCGCACCGAGCCATCCCGGGCCGCAGTGGCCCCGGGCACATTCCCCGGAAGGCGCCCCCTTCCTGGCCCGATTGCCCCTTTCCGCGTCCAGAATGCTCCGGTAGGAGGTCGGCCCTGGGGGACGCGGCAGCCTCTCGGGGCCGCAACCCGGCGCGCCGCCCCCACCCCCATTTTTTGCTCGGTGCTCTCCGGCTCGTTCTGCTCCCTTGGCGGATCTCTCTCCGCCGACGCCGTGGCGCTCCGAGCCCCCCGCCCGCCCCCCACCTTTCCTCCCGGCCTTTTAGCTTTAAATATTTATCAGCCGCGCCGGCACGGGCTGGAGACGAGGCCGTTTGTCTTGTGGAGGAAGGCTGGGGTTTGCAGAGAATAGCCATTAGGGTCTCCCCCCTCCCTTTTCCCTTCCCCCGCCGGGGATCTCAGCTCTGGGTGTGTCCCCCAGCCCCAGCTTGGAGGTCTGGGGGAGGGGGCCCGCAGCGCTGAGCAATTCTCCCCTCCCCCTTCCTTCCCAGCCAACCCCGCTCCCCCATTATTCCCTTCTGGACAATTAGAGGTGGGTCCCAGAGGCTTGGCGGGAGGAGGGGGTAGGAGAAGAGATGAAGACCCAGCCAGGGACACAGAGCCAGAGAGGCAGGTGGAGAGAGGGGGGCTGAGACCAAGAGAGATGAGGCTCCTGACCCCCCAGTGAACTTGGGAAGGGGGAAGCAGAACTAGAGAAAGGGTGAGAAGCCTCAGAGGAGTACAGCTGGCTTCCTCAGGTGCCCTTCCTAGGGCTCCTAAGTTCCCCTGGAGAACTGGCCAGCAAGTTTGCAGGTATCCTTCCAGAAGGGCGAATGTCCTCTTAGGAGAGGGACTACGACTCCATGGAGCCAAATCAAAAGTTACTGAGAGGGCAGGCCACCGAGCCAGCTGCTGCACGAGCCCCAGGACAGCAGGGTCTCCTGAGTAGCCGGAACCAGACATCTTTCTTAACGCGTCCCTGGACTCAGGGGCCAACCCCAGGGCTCAGAAGGCCCAAGGCTGGTGGTCCGCAGGCTCCTGATCCAGCCCGAGGAAGCCCAGCTCCTACACCATCAGTACCGGTGGCCATGGTCCCCATTACCTGCCCCATAATTCAACGGCCTTTCCAGTTGATTTATCAAAGCCCAAATTTTTCTGCTCGTAAACATTTCACGTTGACTTTTATCTGACTTGAAATTAGGGCCCCGAGCCCCTCCTCCCATGTCTACTTCCCAGGAGGGCTGGCACAGCCCCACCCCCCAGTACAGCCTCCCCCCCCCCCCAGCTTCTCAGGGTTTTGGCCTAACCTGGAAACCTCTCCTCTGGCCTTCGGCCCCCCACTCCCCAACCCCGAACCAGGCTGCTGTCTCCCCTGTGCCTTCCTCCTGGAGGCCCAAGTATTGATTTGGAGAACTGGGCTGTCTGGGCCGGAGGGCAGGCAAGACAGCCTGGCCCTGTCTGAACGTCGGCCACTCACTGGAAAATGGTCATCAGAGGGCAACTGCTCTTGGGTCAGCTCCAGGCTCCAAGGAAATCTGCAAATTCTCACCTCCTGCTCATTCCATAATAGGGTGTGTGTGTGTGTGTGTGTGTGTGTGTGAGAGAGAGAGAGAGAGAGAGAGAGAGAGAGAGAGAGAGAGACTGGGTCTATAAGGCTCCTTTGTTTCCTTTTCTTTTTAGAAGCACTCAGGCCAGGCCCGGAGCTCCACTCCAGGGTCACTTGTATGGTTTTCCATTGCCCCTTGCCTTAAAGACCAGGAGAGTCAGTATCCAAAAGGGGAGGCTTGGGGGCCCTTGGTCCCAGGAGTGACGGGGAGGATTAACCTTCTTTCATCCCACAAGAGCCAGCAGGCTAAACCTTGGGTTCAGAAGCCCGAAGCTGGAGGACTTTCCTGGGTGGAAAGTGGGGATGTTTGCCCCAGGAGGTCTGTAGAAAAGCCAGCACACGCTGGGGGTGGGGTGGGGGTGGGGTGGAAAATAAGAATTTGGTTTGGTGGAGAAAACAGCTCTTCCCACCCCTTCTTTTCCTACACGCGCTGATTATTCGCCTTTAATGCTATGTGCAGGGACTGACCGAAAGCGCGGCCGCCAGACCTACACCCGCTACCAGACCCTGGAGCTGGAAAAGGAGTTTCACTACAACCGCTACCTGACGCGGCGGCGGCGCATCGAGATCGCGCACGCGCTCTGCCTCACCGAGCGCCAGATCAAGATCTGGTTCCAGAACCGCCGCATGAAGTGGAAAAAGGAGAACAAGACGGCGGGTCCTGGGGCCACAGGCCAGGACAAGGCCGAGGTGGAGGAGGACGAGGAAGAGTGAGAGGCGAGGAAGAGAGCTGAGAAAGGGAGAGCCGAAGCCCAGCTCTGAGAACTGAACCAGGAAACTCCAATTAAATCGGGAGGGGGAAACCTATTTAAAGAGTGGGAAGCAGTGTAAACGTTTTTTTAGGGAGAGAAGGTGAAATTTTGGTTTCTTAACACTGAAAAAAAAATACTACCTATAGAAACGTCCGTCGGGTTTGTTTTGTACGACATGAGGACATCATCTACTTGTTCTGTAGCCTTCTGGAATTTGCCTCCCCTTTTCTATGTCGCTATTGTAAGGTCTTTGTAAAATCTTGCCGTTTTGTAAGCCCCTTTCTTTTGACGCTGTCTTTGTGGTCTGTGGGTCTGGACTTACAGTGTGTGGTTTCCCGTCCTCCTGAGCCCCCCCTGCCTTCACAGTAGCCGCACTGAAGGGGCCTTAGGGAGCCCCGTGGACCCACCGACTAGCTCGCCGTCCCCGCTGTGCACCTGGCCTACCCAATGCTCGTTTCCATGAGCCCCTGTGATCCTCTTTACGTTGTATGTGTTCTTGAAGATGGAGAAATAAAACACAATTTAAAAATGAACAGATATGCCCTATTTTCTGTTTCCCTAAAACTGAGGTGGGGGGAGGCAGGGGGGGCGGGGAGAGGGTCAGGGTTAGCCATGCATCCCAGAGCCTCTGGGCTCCAACTTCTGCCGCTAGTCATTTCTTTCTGCGCTGGGGTCTGCTCTTTTCCCTGCTCCTTGTTCCGGGGGCTACCAACGAGCGAACCCTGATATCACACACGCGTTCCCTTTACCCATTCTGACACACCCAAACGCACAGCTGACACGCATTTACAGGCTGACATCACACATAAAGAAATATATACATTGTCACACGCAGTCACAAATAAACACCCCTAGCCCCATGTTCATAGATAAACACACAGGCACTCGCACACCCCAGCATGCACTCACGTTCACACACACTCACCAGGAAACACACATTCACACTCACTCCCAGAAACATTTATACATACCAACGCACATTCACACGTTGCCTTATAAACACAGATTCACATTAGCAACCGCCCCCCGCCCCCCAGTCAGCACATCCATGAGCCCACAAGCTCAGTGGCCCACATTCCCAAAACAAAACGCGCACAGTTACGCAAACCCTTCCTCGTCCAGGCCTTCAGACCAGGCTGCGGCGCGGCGGCGCGGCTGGGGCCCAGATCCAGAGCTGAAATCCGAAGTGTTAGGCCCCATGCAAGGAAGAGGGGAAGGAGAGGGAAGGTGGCCGCCCAGATCCACGCCGGCTTCCTGGCGTTGAGCGAGAGGCCAGGCCGGTCCGCAGAGATGCCGGGCCGGCCCAGCGCGGCCTCCGACACCGGGGCGCTGCGGGCTTCCCACTCGCTCTCGGCAAACATTTTCCCCAAGAGCTATTCGGTTATTTTATTTCAACTTCTTTTACTTGCATGTGTTTTAATTTATCTCATTCTAAATGCACACAGCGATCCAAAGGATACTTGGAAATGGAGGGAAAGGTGCCCTGAGAACGAGAGAGGCCGAGCGGTGCAAGTTTACCCGGCTAGTGGGGCCGCATCCCGGCCGCTCCGGGCCGGTCCGGAGGCACGGCCGCAGCTCCGCCGGCTTCCTCGGCGCCTTGCTACCCCGCGGTCCCCGATGCCGGCAGCCTGGAATCTTCTCCGGGGTACAGAGAAAGAGAAAAGAGAGAAAAAAACATTTGCGGGGGGGATGTTATTTCGTTTCCTGCATTGTGGGCGCTGGTAGCTCAATTCAAAATACGGGAGTATTTCAGGGGGGCCTGGGAAACACTAGGTGAATATTGTTGGTTGGTGGTGGTGGGTTTTTTTTTTTCTTCCAAAACACCCCCTGATTGAGGCACATAAACCTGGAAGCTGGCGCCTATGCATCTAGACCTGTGGAGCCGAGTTTTAGAATTTATTCGATTATAAGCCTCGGATTATTTAAATGTGAAGAACAGGTATCAGGACAGAGAGGGGGGAAGCGGATTGGAATGGAAACTCATTTTAGGAAGATCTCTTTAATTTGAATTTGTAAGTAAAAGTCCCCTGAACCTGCAGTGTCCCCCATTAATGACCGCAGAACCCCCTGGAGAGGGCACGGAGCTGTCACTGGGAACCCGGGTGTGCGGGCATTGGGCGGGAGAGGCAGGGGTCCGGCTTCCCCCTCTTCTAATTTCTGGGGTGCAAAGGCGAGAATCTGGCTGCTAGACTCTCCATCTTGGCCTCTATCAGGGCTGCCTTTCCTCTCCCGGGGCAAAAACTAGGCCCTAGGGGATCTAGGGCCCCCACACCCGCAATGCTACAAGCCTCACAGGTGATGGGTCCTGCCATCTAGAGGGCTGGGAATGAGGGAGGCATTCAGAAGGGGAGAGGGGGCACTGAAGCTTTCATTTTGCCCTGACGCAAGTGGCAATTCTGGATACCTGCTGCTACTCCCGACTCACCCCAAAACTACCTCAGAAGGGCCCCTGTGTGGAGGATTTGGGGTGAATTCTCACTAGAAGAGGGAGGCAGAGCTCCTGCGAGAATAGGGAGGTTCTGGAAAGAATCCCCTGCCCAGATGAACCCCTTGGGGCTCCTCCGCCTGATTCCCTGCACCCCAAATCTCACCCCTTCTCATATTGGGGTTTCCCCAAATAGCGAGAAGGAGAAGAAAAGAAGATGGCGACTGAGAAAAGGGTTGCTGGTGGAGCAGCCATGAAGAAATGCAATAAATTCCTTGTTGTTTTATGAAAATTTACAACTTTGTGATAGAAGTTTATGAGTGGTTGAATCCAGCGATTGGCCGGCGCCGGTCATGTGGCCGGGCGATCGTGAACATGAACTTTTTATCATTTCCCTGGTGGTTATAATGCAGCATTCTTTTGGACACCACACCTAGGTCGGAGCACTGTCGTCCTTCAGGGCTCCAGCCTCTTGATATTTTTATACTTCAGTATCACTCGATAAAGAAAAAGAGAGAGGGGAAGAGAGAGGGAGAGGAAAGAAGAGAGAGAGGGAGAGAGAGAGAGAAGGAGGGGGTGGGAATTACACAAAAGAGAGAACCAAAAATAATTTTAATTTCTAAGTTGATTTGCTTGCTGATCTGGGATTTTAGTCATCATGGAGGGTAAATGGACAATCTGCCCAGGACTGCAGCCTGATACCATTTTTCAAAGCCAGAACTTACTCCATTTTCTATGCAAATATCAGAAAAGCGAAACACCCTCTCTCCCAAGTCAGAGAAGGGGAAGCGACGGCTCTCAGGTTGGGACAATATTATCTGGAAGATGAAGAAGAAACAGAACGCTTCCCCCCCTCCTTCCTCCTCACCCCTTTCAACCGGAGGAAAGAAATCCCAAGGTCTACAAAGGTAAGAGAGATTCTACAATTCTCTTCTAATTCTTTTGCATCGATTTTGTAGGGGGTGGGGCTTGGGTTTGTCTCCCTCTCCTCCTCCCCCCTCCAAGACGGGGCTGAACCCCACCTCTGGGCGCTTCAGGAAGAGGCTTCCCAGGAAATTCGGTGGCGGCAGAGAGAGGGGTGGCTGCTTCCTGGAGGGGGAGCCAAGGCAGGGCGGCCGGGAGGAGGAACCGAAAGGGGCCACGGAGGCGAGCTCGATGTCGCCCTTTTAAGCTGGGAGGAGAGGCTCAAGCGAGGGGGCTGCAAAGGAGAGGATGGGGGTGTCTGGGCTCCAGGGCGCCCTAGAAGCCTGTCGCTACGGCCTCTGTGGGTGTGCGCACCCCCTCCCCCTCCCACCATCCCCCCCCCCTCGTTCCGGGCTCCCGAGTTGCCCTCCGCGCGGTTCTCTTGCCCGGTATGGGTATCGGCGGTCTCCCGGCGGTATTGGCACGAGGGGCGGTGGCCTCGAGGGACGTCCTGGTCTCTGGAGGGCCTGGAATGTTCGCAGAGGCCCGCGAGGGCGTGGAGGCGGCGGCTAGAGGGACACAGAAAGAACAGTTCACAGAGAAATGCTCATTATCTCCCTTCGGAGGCATTTTTGAAATTAAAGGGCTGTGGGTGGAGGCACTAAAGTCGAGGGAGCCCCCCCCCCCCCCCCCCNNGCCCCCCCCCCCCCCCGAGGAAGCCAGCCTGAGAGTGCCCAGGTCTGTCGCCACTCCCGCACTCCCGCAGGAGGGAGCCTCGCTCTGCAGGGAGACAGTTTTGTGGTTTTTAATGCGGTAGGTTCCGGCGGTGTTGGTGTCTGTGCACTATTGATTCTATTACTTGCGTTTTATGGGTGTGAGTGTGCGGATTTCGGTGGAGGAAATTGCCACGCGTGTGTCTGAGGTGGAAACACCTCAAACTTTCCTGGATCCAGCCGTGGTGATTGTGAAGAAGCGGCGGAGTGTGCTGTTGTGGTTGAAGCTTGTAAACAAGAATTTAAAAAAAAAAAAAAAAAAAAGGAGAGGGACAGAGAGAAGGAGGAGGAGGAGGAAATAAAAAAAAGAACCCAGTTAGGGAACCCGAGGGTGTCCGGACTGGAGAGGTGCCTGGCGCTCAGCTCAGACAGCTCAGGCGCTGTCCCTCCGGCGCCTGATTTCATTCTCCAGCCAGGCCTCCTGGGGGTGGGGAGGGGGAGAAGAAGGTGGGGGGGGGGAGACCGAAATTCCTAAAGTAACTGGTGGAGAGGAAGAAAGGGAAAGCCGGTGAGGACCTAAAAATAGAGTGAGGGAGAAGAGTTCTGGGGAAGCTGCCAGCGGAGAGATAAGCGGTTTTGGGGGGTGGAGGGCAGGAGAGACTATGATTTAGTTTGGTTTACACGAATAGGTGATTGCTTTTCTCTTTTTAAAGACCAAATGCAGAGCGTTCGGCCTGGGGCCTCTGGTTGCCTGGGGATCGCCGGGGGACGGGGGTGGGTAGGGGGATCCTGGCTCTCTGGATCCTGAGCTGGGAAGAGAGGGACACAGGCCACTTGTGGCTCGGGAAGGGGGCCCCTGGCCGCACAGGTAGAAGGAAGCAGGCCCGCACTGGGGGCCTGCGGGGTCCCTCGGCGGCACAGCGAGAGAAGTTCTCCGCCAGCACCCACGGCACTCGGGGCCTATTCTCAAAGGGAAAAAATTCCCCAAACCCATCCAGACTGAAGGTCTTTTTCTCCTGTAGTCTTGGCGAGGTATAAATCATCCCTTAGACAGTTTGCTCTGACCCAAATTATGCGGTTTGCTGCCATCTACCGTCCGTTCGGAGACATGCGGCTTCGGCACCACAAGCCTGGCGACACTGCCTGTACCGTGCGCGACGCCCGCTCGGAGCCCCTGCTGCTCAGGTTCGGCGGATTTCAGGGGACTCCGGGCCCAGATTGTCGCTTTGTGCTGGATCTTGGTACCCGCCCTTCCGCGTGCGGAATAGAGAACAAGTGTCCCCTCCTCCCGGCCCGCCCCATTCCAGCTCCGAACCCAGCGGCTGGCTGGGAAACCGGCTTTCTCTAGGACATATTTAAAGAGGACTAATACTGCATCCCGCGGGCAGGGGGCCCTGAACCAAAGGGTTGGGGGATCAGAGTCGCGTGTCCTCACCCTCCTGCCCCTCCAAGGCTGGAGACGGGACCATCCGGGCCGCTCAGGAGATGCGAGGCCAAGGCTGTTCAAGGTTTATTTGGTTTTCTTTCCGGCCAAAGGAGGGGGCCAGCAGGGGAGGCGCCGGTCCCCGCAGTTCCACTCGGCTGTCAAAAGACAGACCGGGTCTGTGTTCTCCGGGTTGGCTGGTGGGTCTTGCCAGTTGCTTGGCCGGTGAGTCCGGTGGTGAAGGAACTGAGCCGAATTTTCTGGAAACTGTTGGTGTCTGCAAGTGAGTGTGGATCCCCTCCCCCATTCTCGATCGTTTCAAGCGAAATCGACACAAATATGCGTCGGGGAAGAACGGGGAGTGGGAGCAGGGATCAATCATTAAGGAACCAAACCATTGTGATTTCCGTTCCTGCCGGACCCCTCACACCCGCTTAACCCGAGCGCTCTCGCAGAAGGGGGTGGCGAGGGCAGGGGTGCGGGCCTCTGCTGCCGAGTTTGAATATTGGCCCCTGTCTCACGGGTTACTGATTAGCTCGGGCTTTCAAGCCGCAGGAGGAAGCTCTGGTCGCTCCTTTCAAGGTGCTGTGGCCCCAGTTCCTGGGCGGGGGGTCCAGGAAATTGCCTGCGGTGCCAGGCAGGCCGAGGTGTTACTAGGGTCTGGCTCACAACTGGAGGAGCAGCCCAGAGCGAGGGGGCCCAGCGGTGCTGGGGGGCAAACCCAGCGGCTGCGGCGCCTCAAGAGTCTAGACCACAGGAGAGCTGCCCTTTCAGCATTTCTGCAGAAAGACTGACTTTCAAGGCCAGAAGGCCGGGCCCAGTGCGGAGGCCCCGAGGGAGCGTGCCCAGCAAGTCTTGCGCCCCTCTTTCCTGTGGGCCATCCAAAGGACAGGTGGGGAGGGAAGGCGGCTGGTACAGGGGGGCTGAAACACTTCGGGGCTTTTGGGGTGCCCATGGACCTGGGTGCCGGGAACGGGGAGCATAAGCGGAGCGTCCCGGCCCATCCCACCCCCCCCAAGATCAGAGACGGTGCCGTTCATTTGCATAATGGAAATGAGGTCTTTGTACCGTGCTTCGGACGGGCTAATTTTAAGGCAATATCCCTAGTAAACAGCTCCCAAAGGTTGGGAAGTCCCTCTGGGAACATTTACGTTTCCCAAATTCAGAGAATCACCGCGTCTAGGGGAAGAACTGAGTGGAGATATTTTAATTCGCTCCATCCCAGCCTGAGTTGGGAGTGGGCTCGGGGGGAAGGTGCCCACGACCCAGTGAGGTGGAGGTGGGGGCAGCTTCGTAGCTGCGGGGAAATGGGAAGCCTGGACGGTGTCTAAATCCTCCTCCCCTCCATGCACATGCAGGCAAAAACCTCTCCCTGCGGTTACCGGTACAGGAGAATTTTACTCATGAGCTGAGCACAACTCGGATATTTCCCTGGGAAATGAAAATGCGTGCGCGTCCAGGGGAGCTCGGATTCACAGCACAGAATGTTACAATTATAAATTCTGCCTGTGGGGTTTCTGTACAGTCCTTCTGCTGTGTCCTCAAGACTTGGTACACATTTATATCCATCTCTCTATATACACTCTTCCACCGTGGGGCTGGGAGACACACCCCAGACTGGCAGACGGCTGTGCCTGCTGGGTATTTACATATTCCCCCTTGGAGACAGACAGACGGCGGTGGACCGAACCACAGACAGATTCGTAGAGATCTGGCTCCAGAGACCAGGCGGCCTCTGGCCGGGCCCGGCCCGTCTGCTCTTTCTCCCAAACAAACGGATCAGACGAATAAACGCTCATAAATACCTCTGGGCTTAGATAAGAGCGATGAGGCGCTATTTCCTTTCATGCCGGACTCCAGGCGCCCAGGCCCTGCCTCTGGGGCTCCATCTCACGACAGGCAACCTGCAGAGGTGAGGTTAATTTGGGGACGTGACTCTAAGGGACGAGGCGATTGTTTTCATGCTTCTCTATCAGGGATGTCTCCCTCTCTTACAGCATCCTACTTACTCCCGACTCTACAGCAAAGCCCACACTGTCCATTTCTAGGAAGGGGACGTTGTGACCAGGGATGAGGCAGGACAGATACGGCCCAAGGCCCAGCCTCGGCGGCAAGGACGAGAGAGGTGCATACAGGCACTCTCCTGACCTTGCTCCCCTGGCCCAAATGTTCCCAATTCCTCTGTAGGAGTGGGCCCAATCACAGCTAGATTGGGACACCTACCATTCTTCATCATTAGAAGACTTGAGTTTATTTTCTCAAATTTTGATTACTACCCGCCCCCCCCCCCCCGCCTCCGAATTGGGCTAGGAAGTGGTTGGTGAGACATCCAGAGATCACCATGTGGCCATGAAGGTATAGCCTAGAAGTTGTCCTGAGTTCCGGGATCCTTGTAGGCCACGGGGCGACCGACCAATTTCCCACTTTGGGCCACCAAGCTCAGCGCTTTCCCTAGTATCCCAACCACTTTCCTTGGAATCCTGGGCCATCTTTAGTGGGCAAGCCTGGCCCACGAAAAGGAGCCCAAAGCACAAGACGCCCCCCTTCCTCGTCAGATATTGTCACATGTCCTGGCTCATTCCTGAACCCAGGTCTGAACATTATCAACCTTTACTGCCTGGCTTCCATGAGCCTAGTTAGAGTGTTGAAAACATACTGTGACTCAGTCTTCCAGCCTGGCTTCAAGGCTCATTTTCCCTAGATGGGGGTGGGGGTGGGGGGGGGGAGATGAACAGAGATGAGCACTCTTTCTCACACCCAAGCCTGTGCAGCAGCAAAGCTGGTGATACAAATGTGAGCTGTGGGAGGGACTGGAGAGTCGCTGAGAGCCTGACCCAAGGGTGGTGAGCATCTGGAGAGGGGAGTCAGGCTGATAGTTGTAAGCTGCCTGCTGAGCCCCCCGCCCCGCAGCACCTGACACACCTCTCCCTCCTTACAAAACTGAGCCCAAACCAAGTCTTGGGAAAGAAATCATTTTAAAAAGAACTGCCAGCTTCTGGAGAGACCTGGAAAAGGAGTAGGGGCCCCTCTCTTCCCGGCTGTCTCTGCCGCAAATATTAGGCAGTTTTTGACGACCCAGAATAGAGGACGAGCAATGTCTTCCCTGTAACCCGATGTGCTGCGATATCTTTGCTTCTTAAGAATCTGTAGCCCAGGATATTCTAATGATGGGGGGCGGGTAGAGGGTGGGGGTGGAGTGAGGGTTGCAGGCAGGGTAGGGATCAGAGGAAGCTAGGCAGGGGGATGCCCCTTCCTCTTCCTCTTCCTATCCCCCAAGTGAGAAGACTAGTCCCTTTTCCCCAGCGCCCCTTCTCATGCCAAGAGCAAGCAGTACATGCTGGAACCAGGCAGGATGTCTGGGGCAGCCCCTGTAACCTTCCAAGAAGCTAGCTCCTAGCCTAGCCTGGCTTCACCCAGCCCCAGAGCCGGAGGGCTCACACCCTCCTCCCATTTCCCAGCCTTCTGGGTCCTCTGGGCCGCAGGCTCTGGCCTGCCCTCCGGCCCATAGGAATTGTGAAGACGCGAGAATAATAAACCCAGGCTTGGAGGAGACAGACTAGACCTGGGAAGCAGGAAAAAACAGTTTCACCTGGGAAGGGGAGCGTTTCTTCTTCTTCTTCGCCTCTTTCTGAAAACGATGCTAACTAGCCAACTCTTCTCCTTTCCTACCCACACAAAACCCTAGAAGCAAACCTTTTCCTTGAGTCCTCTCCTCCCCACACGGAGATTCATTCCGGGGACATTTACCCACCCTTCCCTTGAGGGAACCGGGCTGAAGCAACGCAGGGGTTAACTTTTCTGAAAACACAATTAACTTTTTCCTCTCCTGCGTGGGGAGGGGAGGGATATATTTATTTAATCACTGGGGGATGGCGTGGTCTCAATCCACATGCTCCCTCCTCCCTCAAAGGCACAGACGCCTCTCTCGCAGATCCTACGTAGGTGGGGGACGCGTTGTGTTGTCGGGGAGAGAGAGAGAGAAAGGAGAAGGAGAAGAAGGAGGAAAAAAAAAAAAGGTTGATAGGTTTGTGCGCGGGTCCCTCGCGCGGGCTGCGCTCCTCCTGGGTGCTATTTGACAATTCCTGCCTCTGCTATTGGTCAGTGTTGGATCAGATGGTTGTATTTCCTTCTGGCCCTCACTGGCACCTCGCCATCCCCCCTCAGCTAAAACCCAATCTCAGATATACTACTAATAGGCGCGGCGCTCGGACTATAAAACACAACAAATCATAAACCCGGCGGAGCAGCAGCGGCCGAGCGCGCCTCCCCTCCCAATGAGTTCCTATTTCGTGAACTCCACCTTCCCCGTCACTCTGGCCAGCGGGCAGGAGTCCTTCCTGGGCCAGCTACCGCTCTACTCGTCGGGCTATGCGGACCCGCTGAGGCACTACCCCGCGCCCTACGGGCCCGGGCCCGGCCAGGACAAGGGCTTTGCCGCTTCCTCCTACTACCCGCCGGCTGGCGGCGGCTACGGCCGAGCGGCGCCCTGCGACTACGGGCCGGCGCCGGCCTTCTACCGCGAGAAGGAGTCGGCCTGCGCGCTCTCGGGCGCCGAAGAGCCGCCCCGGTTCCACCCCGAGCCGCGGAAGTCAGACTGTGCGCAGGACAAGAGCGTGTTCGGCGAGGCGGAGGAGCAGAAGTGCTCCACGCCGGTCTACCCGTGGATGCAGCGGATGAATTCGTGCAACAGTGAGTGAGCCCTCCCGCGGCCGCCGCGACCCCCGCGGGCCCTCCCCCCCCCCACCCGGAAAGAAGTAGCGCCCCCACCCCCACTCCCCCGGGGTGCTGGGTGGGCATCTCAGTGAGGAGCTAAGGGAGGACGGGGCGCCCGCCCCACCTCCCGCTCTGTCCCCTCGCCCTCAGGAGTTCCAAAGTTTGCAAAGTCCCAGCTGCACCGGGAGCCAGGGGGAGCGAGTGGGCTCCCCGGGAGCGCCAGGCCAGGGCCGGAGTCCCGGGCAGGGGAGGGGGCAGGGGCCGCAGCCACTGGCGTGGCTTTCCCCCCTCGTGCCCCCAGCCCCGGTCGGGTCCCCCACCCGAAGACGGTTCCATTAAAAACGGAGTGCGTCATCGGAAGGGGGGCGGCGTGACGCTGGCGAGGGAGAGTTGTGTCTGTCCCGGACTGTGTTTCCCTGGGGGTCCGGCGCTGGGGAAGGAGGAGGCACCAGGAAAGGGGTGGTAGTCAGAGGAGGGAGGGAGAATCAGGGGAAGAAAGGGAGAGGGAGCCGGCGGAGGGGGAGACGGGGAGAGGCAGGCGCCTGGGTCTCAGGTTGGATTATTTGTCGGCCTCAAGTCCCAAATTGATGTCCATTAGCGGGACACGAAAGTGAGGAGCCGTTAATGCCGACTGTGGATCGATCCACGTCATTACGGATTAAGGGCTGGAATCTATCACAGGGCGGTGGGGGAGCCAGATAGATGGAAGGAAAAGATGAGGCTAGGAAGAGACACACCTGGCCAGTGGTTCCCCAGCCCCTCCCCCTAGGCTCAGGTGGGATTTTAAGCCCTCCTCCCATCCCCCACCGAGCGTCTAGACCAGAGGCACAGGCCTGGGAGACCCGGAGGGCATCTGGAGAGGGCGCTGGGGGGGGTGAGAAAGTAGAGGGGGGGGGAGCAGGGAACTGGTAGAAAGGAGGGCATCCCGGGACAGGCTGGAGTCCACGTCGGAGGGCCGGGTGGGGGAGGGGGCTCTGGCCCCGGTGACCCCAGGCCTCAGCATCTTCTCTCTGCGTAACAGGTTCCTCCTTTGGGCCCAGCGGCCGGCGCGGCCGCCAGACCTACACCCGCTACCAGACCCTGGAGCTGGAAAAGGAGTTTCACTACAACCGCTACCTGACGCGGCGGCGGCGCATCGAGATCGCGCACGCCCTGTGCCTGACCGAGCGGCAGATCAAGATCTGGTTCCAGAACCGGCGCATGAAGTGGAAAAAGGAGAGCAAACTGCTCAGCGCGTCTCAGCTCAGTGCCGAGGAGGAGGAAGAAAAACCAGCCGAGTGAAGGCGTTGGAAAGGGAGGGGGGACGCGAAGGGAGCGGCCTGTGGGGAGCCGAGGGCCTCGGAGAGCCCCGAGAAGGCTCTGCGGGCGGGGGACCCGGGGGACCTGCCGTCTAGCGCACGGCACGTGCGGGGGCCCAGCGCCCTCGGGGACGCCCCCGCCCGCAGAGCTCTCACCGGGCGCTGGGAGGCCCTGCCGCCTGAGCGCACCCAGCACCCTGAGCGCCCCCTCCATCCCTGCGGGACCCGCTTCGGCCCCGTCAGGCTCCCCTGTTGAGAACTGAGGACCGGACTCACTTGATGTTTCCTGGAAGCAGAGCAAAATGCTCTTGTCTGTGTCGCGTCTCATTCCGTCCATGTCCCCGGTGCACGGTTCAATGGTAGATTCGCAGTCCCCTCAGCGGGGGCCTCGAAGACTCCCTGACCCCAGACCTCTCTCCCACCCCCACCCTAAAGCCACTGGAAGGAGCACATACTACCTAGAAGTAAGAAGAGGAGCCTCAGAAGAAAACAAAGTTCTATTTTATTAATTTTCTATGTGTTGTGTTTGTAGTCTTGTCTTAGCTCTGGACGTGAAATACTTCGGTAATAATATTAATATTATTAATGATGATGATGATGATGATAATAAAGACGTTAAAACTCGCCGCTCGGTCACCTCTGCTCCTCCCCCGCCACTCCCCCACCCCCAAGGCCACCCCACCGTCCCGGTGCCGGAAACTCCGCAGCGAAGGCTGGAGCCCCGGCCGGCCCCGGCGGGCCCGACACGACTCGGAAGTTACAGCGGAGATAACGGCCGGAGCGGTCCCGCCCAGGCGCCCGCGCGCGCCTCGCCGCCGGTGCGGAGGCTCAGGACGGCCTCTCCCGGTGCACACTTGGGGGACGGAGAAGGGCCGCTTCCCCTCCTATCCCTCTTATTCCTCGTTGGTCCGTGGCACGAGGGACGCGACCGAGGCCCGAGCCCCGGAGCCCCTGCAGAGACAGCCAGGAGGGCCTGGCTTCTCGGCAGCGCCTCTGTCCTCAGGCTCGCGAGGCCCGGCGCCTTCGGCCTGCCCGCTTGGCCTGCTCTCCGCCGCCCTTGGCCCTGGGCTCCCGGCCTGTGGCTCTGGAGACCAAAATCGGGGCCACCGGGTGTCTCTCCGCGCGCAGCTGAAGGCTCCAGGAGCCCCTTCCTGCCTCTAGCAGGAGCTCATTGACAAGCAGGGGCACTCGAGGCCGCGCCGCCGGCGGGCGTGGGGTGGGGGACACGACTTCTCCCTGCTCCTTGGAGACTTGAGGGCAGGAGGCCAGGTGATGGGGCATTGTGGTCTCACCCTCTCAACCAAAAAAACGACCCATCCTCTCCCCACCCCCACCCTCACCCTCACCCAGGCGGCAAGCAGCGGACACTGTTTTCCTTTCTTCCTCCTCCCTTTCTCTCCCTTTTTTATTTTTAAAGAAAATAGCCACCCGGCAGAAGGAGCCCAGCTGCGGCGGTCTCCGGCCGCCCAGCGTGCTCAGCAAGGCGCCGCTGGTCCTCGGAACCCCTTTCCAGGGAAGATGTGGGCCGCAGAGCACGTTCTGAAACTACCCAGATGTCAGCAAGGGGCCTTCAGTGGCGCCTCCCAATGCAATAGCGGGGAATCTGGTGACGGGGTGAAAGGGTCTTGCCTTGATCCCGAACTCTCAGAACCCCAAACCCCGGCCACCTAGTCTGTCGCTGCCACTGGTTTCCCCTGAACCAGGCCGCTCAGCACCAGCACGCTTCGTCCTCCGGGGTCCCTGTCCTGCTTTGCCATTCTCCGGGCCTGGGCTAAGGATGGGGAGGGAGTCAGGAGGAGGATCCCAAACTTCTAAAGGGCACAGAAGTGAAAGCGGCTCCGTGGAACCCTCGGCCCAGCGCTGCCAGCTCCGCCTGGACGCTATGCATGGGACACAGCAGTCCCGGCAGGAAGCTGGCGGGTCTGAGCTCGCGGGGAAACGCATTGCAATAATTGTTTTTCACACATCTTCTAACCCTCCGCCCCCCCCCCCCATTTCCGTCCCCAACTCGGAGACTTGCAAAGCCCACAGGAGGGAAAAGCAACTCAGTTTTTGATCATCTCATCCAGAGTGGAAATAATAATAATAATGGCAAGGAGAAGGATACCAGTAGTCTAACCCCACTTCCAAGAAAGTGGGTAAAGGCTCAACTGGGTCTCCCCCCCCCAAAAGACTCAACTCTGCGGGTGAGCCGGGCCAGGGTTTCTTTTCTCGCCCGGCGGTTGCAGGGAGCCAGCGGGGAGGCAGCCGTCGCCGCCATGGCAGCCTGCGGCCCGCGCTCCCGCCGATCGCCGGGAGGTGGCGCGCTCTGCTCAGAGGCCGCCGCCAACCTTCTCCCTGTTTCTCCCCCTTCTCCTTTTTTCCCCCTCTCTCGGAGGCTCGCATTGAATCGGCCCTAACGATTCTCGGATCGTCATTATTTGTAACCATAGAGCATGAATTACCTCTTGAGGTCATCAGCGAGAATTTACGACTGGTCAACAAAAGCACGTGATTCCCTAACGCCCCCCCATCCCCCCTTCCAACCCCCCCCCATATTTGGCCGCATACATAGCAAAACGAAGTACAGTGCATCGCTATAATTCATTAATACATCATAAATCGTGAAGCACAGGGTTATAACGACCACGATCCACAAATCAAGCCCTCCAAAATCACCCAAATGAGCTCGTACTTTGTAAACTCCTTCTCGGGGCGTTATCCAAATGGCCCGGACTATCAGTTGCTAAATTATGGCAGTGGCAGCTCTCTGAGCGGCTCTTACAGGGATCCCGCTGCCATGCACACCGGCTCTTACGGCTACAATTACAATGGGATGGACCTCAGCGTCAACCGCTCCTCGGCCTCCTCCAGCCACTTTGGGGCGGTGGGCGAGAGCTCGCGCGCCTTCCCCGCGCCCGCCCAGGAGCCCCGCTTCAGGCAGGCGGCGTCGAGCTGCTCCCTGTCCTCGCCCGAGTCCCTGCCCTGCACCAACGGCGACAGCCACAGCGCCAAGCCCTCCGCTTCGTCCCCCTCCGACCAGGCGACCCCGGCCAGCTCCAGCGCCAATTTCACCGAAATAGACGAGGCCAGCGCATCCTCGGAGCCTGAGGAAGCGGCGAGCCAGCTAAGCAGCCCGAGCCTAGCTCGGGCACAGCCAGAGCCCATGGCCACCTCCACAGCCGCGCCCGAGGGGCAGACTCCGCAGATATTCCCCTGGATGAGGAAGCTTCACATCAGCCATGGTAATTCTCGCTTTCGCTCCCCCCTTTTTTTTTTTTTTTGTCTTCCCGGCTTTCCTTCTCTGCGTTTGGGGAGGTGGGGGGGGGGGAGGCGAGGAGAGCTTGGCTTTTCCTCAAATATAGATTTATTATTTTTTTAACCAGAGGGGGAGAAGTCTTTAAGAGGGTCTTCACAGCTTGGGGGGATAGAGCCAAAGCAGGTCTAGCTAGGTCTTTAGCTGGGGAGGAGTATTTTTAATCATTTGTCTCCAGATTCGGCTACGGTTTTATTCGCCCAGCTAGCTGTACTCGCTCTAGGATGAAGGATGGGGTTTATGGAACGTGGGGAAGGGTCCTGCCGACCCCCGAAATTTTGAGGCTGCAAAGGAGGGGACGAGCAGTAAAAACGAGCTTTCCAGGGCAAAAGTGCAGCCGCTCTGCTCCCTCTCGGGGCGAGCGGCCGCCTGAGCCCAGCGAAGGGTGAGGCACAGGGAGGGAGCAAGAGACAAAGCCGGGCGCATTCACTGCCGGCAGAAGTGGGGGCTGCAGGAGAAGGGGGTGCAGAAGCGAGATCTCGGATGCCGGGCGTCTGGAGCGGGGAGGATTGGAGCTGCGGCGAGCTGGGTGCCACGGACGCCTGGGTCCTGCTCCACGCCCCTCTCCCATCCAGGGCCCCCCTCCCTGAACCGGAATAACAGTGCCTCTCGGCTCTACTCTGTCTGCTCCAGATATGACCGGGCCGGACGGGAAAAGGGCCCGGACCGCGTACACCCGCTACCAGACGCTGGAGCTGGAGAAGGAGTTCCACTTCAACCGCTACCTGACGCGGCGGCGGCGCATCGAGATCGCCCACGCGCTCTGCCTGTCCGAGCGCCAGATCAAGATCTGGTTCCAGAACCGGCGCATGAAGTGGAAGAAAGACAACAAACTGAAAAGTATGAGCCTGGCTACAGCCGGCAGCGCCTTCCAGCCCTGAGCCCGCCGGGAGGAGCCCTGGGTGGCCCAAGAGCACTTGCCGCCCCCCCCCTCGCCCTGCCCCGGCCCCTCCGAGCCTCCCTGCGCTGCCACTGCCCGCTGGGGACCGGTTCCCACGAGCCTGCCTCGCCCCGGCCTTGTGTTACGATTTTTCGTTCGGTCTTAGGTCTCCCTGTGGCTCCCTGTCTCCCGGACTGGTTAATCTTGTTATTATTGTTAATAATAATGATAATTATTATTTCCCCTCCATGCTCCCCACTCCCCGCCACTCACCCCAAATCCGCCAGTGTTTCTGAATGTTCGTGTCTGTGGTTGCACTCCTTCCCCCAGGAAAGAAAGAAACTCGCATGTTTAATGTGAACTTTCCCCTCCCCATCTGTGTTCTTCTAACTTATTTATAAAAGGATGATCGCTGTGTTTTGAGTTTCAGCTTGAAACTTCTCTAAAGGGGCAGCAGTTGAGGTGGGGTGGTGTCGTGCCGCGGCCCAGCTGAGCTGGCCTCCGCGATGGAGTCCATGACTGTCTCTTTCCACCTTCCTCCTCCTCCCTCCCCACTCCCCAGGCCCAAGTCTCCCAGTGGCTTGGTCCTAGGGTGGGAAGGGGGCTGGGGGCACCAAAGAGGCTGATGTGGAGAAGGGGGAAGGTAAACCGTGAGAGTAGGGTTCCTGCCGCCTGGGTAGGCCCCACAAGGCCTGGCCTGGGAGTGTACGGGAACAAAAATAATCCTCAGTGTAAAATGTCTCTCGTGTATTTCTCTGTGAGTCCGTGGGTCTGGAGTAGAGGGCCCAAAGCTTGTAAATATGGGGAGAGTCTGGGTCAGACCCATCCCCTCCCCCCCCACCCCCCATTTCGCTTCTAAGACCGTTTGTAGTGAGCGAGTGGATGCTGTGCTACGTGTGAAATCTGTCTTTGCCTTTGCCGGGCCTGTCTCAGTGATTCGCTTTTGGTATTTGTTTGTAGCTTTCCTTGAAGTCAAATAAATGTTTCCCCTACTCCACTGCCCTTCTACTTGTCTTTTCTCCGGGGAGCTGCCTCTCCCATCACTGGGCACACCCTAGACCATTCTTGACAGATCTGGGGTGTAGGGAAGGGAAAACAGGGTGCCCACCAGCAGCCTCTCTCAGCCACCTACACCCCTGGCTTGGTGAGCGGGGCTTGGGCCAGGGCATAGGCTTTCGCATCTGGGGGACTGGGAGGCCCAGAAATCCCACGTGGGGCTGGGGTAAGGGACAGGCTGAGCTGGACTCCACCCTGGCCTTCCACCAGCCAGCCAGAAAAGCCTCTAGAAACCTCTTCAGGGAAAGCAGGTTAGGCCTAAGTCCTGGCAGGAGGCTCCTGGCCTTGTGGGAGTGGTTCGGGCCTGCCCAGACCCCCTGGCCCCTGGCCCAAATCCCAGTTCACCTCTGCCACCCACTAAGACAAAATAATAATAATCAGCTCAGTTTCAAAGGCTTCCTCACAACCTCAGTCTTCTCTGTACTTGTCAAGGGCTCCCTCTCTCCAGGGGCCCAACTGACCTTCCTTCTTGATTGGGAGTTGGGGTCCCTCCTGAAAGACCCCTGGTTCCCCCTGCCAGCCCCAGTGGCCCAGGGTTAGGGCCCAGTCCTCCTCCATCCAAGTCCGCCTCCACCCTGAGTACAAGAGTCAAGTCTGGACACTTACCCGGTCAATCCCTTCCAGCTTGGCCCAACTTCTTACAGGACTTGGGGGGGGAGGGGGAGCTGGCGAGGAGGCAGCCAAGGGTCGTAGAGGCTCTACTGGGCCCTCCTTCCCCCTCACCCCTTGACTTTGTCCCCCTTTGTCCATAGCAAACTATCCCAAAAGTCGCTATGACATTTAGATGTCAAATGGATAGGGGTTTTATCTCGAAGTTAGATCGTAAAAATCGCCGAGAAGTCAGACAGATACCCCTCACTGGCTCGAGAAAGTCACGTGAGGTCCATAAAGTTAGTTTTATGGTTTTGGGGAGTTGACACCGCGCGGTATATTTCACATTCTCCAGAATGTTAAGTGACACTTTAACTGCTCGCTGTGGTGGGGAAGGGGGCAGAGGTAGGTGAGCGCTCTCCCAGCCCAGAAGGCGGTGGCGGCAGCCAGGCCCTGCGCTCCGGCGGTAAGTGGCTTCCAGCTTTCGCTTTCTCCCCTCGCAATTTTGGGGGCTTGGAACTGGGAAAGGAAATCTTGCCTTGGGCAGCAGGGCTGTAAGATAATAAACTGGGGAGGGGGGAGCGGAATTCGGTCTGTGTTTTTGTACCAAGTTCTGACAGGCTGGGTGTCTGAAGTGGGGGCGCTGGGTTCCCTGAGGCCTCAGCGGTTGGGGTGCCTGGTTTTTATTCGTAGGAGTGTCTGACTCTTTGTGGGGAAAGGGGCTTGTGTGGGCTCCCTCAGTGGAAATTTAGGGGGCAGGAGGGAAGGGTGTGTACTCCTGAAGGAAGGGCCCCTCGTGGGGGGCCACTTCACTGTTGGATACCTTCAGACAGACATCTCCCCAACCCCGGGAAAGAAACTTTATGACATTCATTTGTCAGGGGTGTGTGGGGGCGCGCGGCTGGGCACTTTTATCTGGATACATCTGAGCTGAGAAAAAGCACCCGGAAGGCTAGCGTAGCTGCTCTGGGCTGCCTTGCACTGGGGCTCTCTCTGGCTTTCGGATTTTTGAACCCTATGATAGGGGGGTGCCTCCCATTTCTCCGTGGCCTGGTGGAGGGGCTTCCTCCGGATGGGGAGCGCGGCGCGTTTGCACCCAGCTTTGGCCTGTTCATTCCAGGCCGACCCTTCTGCGCGGCTCTCAGTAGGGTCAGAGGGGCACAATCCCCTCAGATTCCAAACCTAATTCCTGGCCAGGCGTGGGGGAAGGGGAGAGCTTCTTTCCTTGCCTGGAGGAGTTAGGTGTTGAAGTAGATGCCTGGCAGTCCCTCCGTAAATAAGACTTGCTCCAGAACACAGACCCCAGCTGTCGGGGGTGGGGGGTGGGGGGGGAGGGGACTCATGAGCTGGGAGAGAAAAATCAGAGAGGTTCTCTCTCTCTCCTCTCCTCTCTCACCCTCTTCTTCCCCCCACCCCCAGACCCTTAAAAGCCCCTTTGTTTTGTGGCACCACAAACCAGAGGGATTTCATCATTTGACCCCCAGGGGGCCTGTTACTTTCTAAGGGTAAGTCACCTTCTTCTAAAAACCAGAGGGCTCCTCTCCACCAAATTGACCGCCCCCTCCCCCGGTCTAAGATCCATGGGGTCTGCTGCCCTGTCGCTCCCGCTTTTGCTCGCCTGCCAGCTTATCAGCTCCGGGAGATGGTTCCTCAGATTGGACATGTTGGCGCCTTAAGGGGCTTCTGATCTTTGGGACAGGGAGAGGGCCACAAGAGTCCCTTCACTTCCCACGGAGGGATGTCCACGCTCTCCGCCTCTCTCCTCTCCTCCCTGCAGCCACTCTCTGTTCCCTGAGCTCTCCAGTCCCTGCCCAGGCCTGACTTAGGAGAACCTTCACAGGGTTGAGAGCAAAGAGGACAGAGAGCTTGGGCTCCTCACCCTGATTTGAAGATGGAATCTCCCCAAGAATGATGAGGCATTTATATCCCTTGGAAAGGAGACTCCGGTCAGTTCCCGAAGGATCCCCACTGTCCCTTAAGATAGTGATATATTTTGGAGACAGAGCTTCCACAAGCTTCCACTCTGGATGAGGCAAATGAGTGGAGTAAGGTGCAGAGGGCGAGTGTAGCAGGGGCAGAATCTGACCTGGGGCCTCCCGGGAAACCCCATTGCCTTGTGCCCTGGCCTCCCTCCAACGCCGCCTCCTTCTCTCAGAACCCTCAGACCACCAGGCCTGCCCCTGAAAAAAATTTTTTTGCCCCCTTCTATGTCCGCTCTGCAAACTCTGATAAAGAATGTGTGGGGCTGACGGCCCAGGGACATCTGCTGGGCATATCTAGACAGATTTTCCGGCATGGTGAAGTGTAGTCCCGGGCGGGGGTGCCCACTTCCGCCCTCGGAGGCCAAAACCCTTGAAGGGTCTGGTCTCCTCCTGCTCCAAGGGGTTCCTGAAGATTCTCGGGCTGGGTTTTCCTCTTCTGTACTTTAGGTTGTCTGGGCAATGGTCTCCCTTGAAACCCAACAAGGACGTGTTGGGGGAGGGGTGAGAGGTGGGAAGGAGTTTCTTGGCCCCGTCATGCCCTTTCCTCCCCAAGACGTTCTCTGGGAAAGCTTCTCCTCAATCTGGAGGACTCTTCTTTCCCTCCTCACCCACTTGCTTCCCCTCCCCGGCTGGGGCCAGGCCTCAACCTTGTGAGCTACAGGCTGGTCCAGATCCTTAGCCCATCCACGCATCTGTCCAGCACCCCCAACCTGGGCAGGGCGGAGGAGGCAGCCAGGGATTAAGGCCACCGTTGCCCTTCTCACTCCAAGGCCAGCCTGACCACCACTCTGCAGACAATTTGATTTTGATTTTTTTTTTGTTTTATTTGGTTATTTTGTTTTGTTTTGTTTTGTTTCTCTGCGCCACGGGGTGGGAGGAAGTATAAAGAAGTGTAAACAGGAAAGCCAGCCGGCCCTGGAGTTCCGAGCGCCCATATTTCATCGGCTTCCTCTCCACACTTAACCCTTCCCTGGCTGGGAGAACGTATTCACTGAGGGTTGGTGGGGGGAAGGGGACAGGGTGTGGGGGCACGATCGGAGTGGAAGCTCCTTTCCCAGCCCGGTTCCTTTATCCCTGGGGTCTGCATGCTGGGGCAGAAGTCAAGGATTCGGACGGAGCAGAGAGAAAACAGACCGCCCTCCCAAACTCAGTCCCTTCCAGCGCAGTGAGGAGAAGGCTCTCCCTGCACGGGCTTTTCAGCTTGAGGACCAACTGGATCGACCAGGGAAGACAGAGCTAGGAAGAACCCCTCCCATGCTTTCGGGTCACTCTCTCCATTTTTGGAGTTTCCAGAAGTAATCAGATTTCGAGGCTGGGATCTGCCCACAGCAGGATTTATCGATTGTTGCAGAGCTGTTACACATCCATATTAATTAACTCAGACACCGGCCTGGAAACTGAGCTGCTTGGGGAGGAGGAGGAGGAGGAGGAGAGAAATAGGGGCCCCTTAAGGAAAATGGACATTTCTCCCTAAGTGCCCCCTGGGCCCAGACTGGAGAGTCTTTCCCCACCAGAATCCAGTGGCCTTCCCCAAGCTTGAAGTCACCGCACTTCTCAGCAGGGACGAGCGTGTCCTCCTCCCCACAATGAGAATCCACACACAGATATTCTCAGGGGTGGAATTAAACACCTCTCAGGCCTGAATCTTCCTTGTCAGAGGTAGGTTGCCCCCCGCCCTCCAAGGGATGGATCCTTTGGTGGATACTCCCAGCACTACCCTTCTAGAAGGGCTTAACGCCTCCTCCCCACCTTCCTTCCAACTTCCTCCAGGTAGAAGCTTTTTTAGGTTTGGGGGTTCTGTTTTGTTTTTAGTGTTTGGTGGTGGTGGTGGTAGTGATGGCCTTCCCCTTC